TTAGGTGTATGTGGCTGGCGCCTTAGCCGCTTGAGCCACAGGTGCCGAGCCAAACTCTTGGGCTTAAGTGATCCTCTTGCCTCAGCCTCCCAAGTAGCTGGGACTACAGGCACCCACCACAGGGCCCGGCTATTTTTAGAGACAAGATCTCTGGCTTATGCTGGTCTGGAACTTGTGAGCTCAGGCAACCCATCTTCGGCCTTCCTGAGTGCTAGGATTACAGTTGTGAGCCACTGTACTTGGCCCTATAAGAGGGACTTTTATCTAAAAAGTGCAGTCCATGTAACCTAATTCTTTGTACCCTCAATGAATCCCAAACAATTAAAAAATAATAACAATAATTCCTCGGATCCTTGTGCACCCTGTTGTGTCACTTATCAGGGGTGCTCTACTTAGCTTTTCCAGGCTATCTCACCCAAATGGTGAGCATCTCCAGGAATTCTTTGTATTCCTAGCAGCTGGCATAGGGCTCAGCACAGAGCCTAAGCTCCCCAAGTGTTTTATGAATGAAGGTAATTGGGGTGTTGGTGAGTCATTTTAAATGTATGTTTATTAAACAAATACTACATTTTTTCTAAAGATAAGCAACCCTACTTGTTATCTCCTCTTTTAAATTTCATTTTGAGGGAGAAATTTAGATCTGCTGTAAACTGACGATGCCTCTCAAAGTTTCTGGAAGTTCATGAAAGTGTCACCTTCTGTAGTGTTTGCCCACCATCTTAGTTCCTAGAAAAACAAAGGTGCCACACAGTGTAGGATGCCCACTGGGACCCAATACGACCACATCATTCCAAAAGGTGAAGTCAGGTAACGTCCCTCACCACTGAGAGTCTCTCACTTTCCAGTTTTCAGTTTCCTTCTCAGCTGTACATCAGTTCCTCCTAGGCTCTGAAACTTGATCAGGTGCCACCCACTAACAAATTTGATTTATGGGAGTGATAGTTTTCCAATATTTTATTTTTTGAAAATTTCAAAGACTCAGAAAAGTTTAAAGAAATATAGAATAGCCAGGCATGGTGGCTTGTGCCTGTAATTCCAGCACTCTGGGAGTCCAAGGCAGGTAGATTGCTTGAGCTTAGGAGTTGGAGACCAACCTGAGCAAGAGCAAGACCCCGTCTCTACTAAACATGGAAAAATTAGCCAGACCTGGTGCATGTCTGTGGTCCTAGCTACCGAGGCAGAAGGATCACTTGGGCCTAAGAGTTTGAGGTTGCTGTGAGCTATGATGACATGGCACTCTACCCAGGGTGATAGAGTAAGACTCTGTCTCAATAAAAAAAAGAAATGTAGAATAAACAACCATATATCCACCATCTAGATGCTACAGTTAACATTTTGCTTCATATATCTATCCATCTCCCTAGCTATTCATCAGTCCCTATTTTTTTTGAGACAAAGTCTCACCACATTGACCTCTGTAGAGTGCTGTAGCATCACAGCTCACAGCAACCTCAAACTCTTAGGCTTAAGCGATTCTCTTGCTTCAGCCTCCCAAGCAGCTGGGACTACAAGCCCCTACCACAACACCTGGCTATTTTTTTTTTTCTGGCTATTTTTTTTTTTTTTTTGGTTGTAGTTGTCGTTGTTTGGCAGGCCCGGGCTGGGTTCAACTCACCAGCTCCAGTGTATGTGGCTATTGCCCTAGCTGCTGAGCTACAGGTGCCAAGCCATCAGTCCCTATTTTTTTGATGATTTTGGTATAAGTTGTGAACATCAGTATACTTCACGCCTAAGCCCTTCAACGTGCGTGTCATTAATTAGAGTTCAATATTTATTTATAGTTCTTTTTTAAGTGCAGTTTACACATAGTAAAGGGGACAAACCTGCAGTGAACTATTGGACACATTTTGACAAATGACACAACCCCTACCGAAATATACCACATTTCATGGCCTGAGAAATTTCCCTCATGCTTCTGGGGTTGGGGTGAGTTTAACAAGCCCAGAGCCCCTCCTGTTGACTGCCCACACGCATGCGTGTTCTCAGCCAGCATTTCCCTGAGACATCAGCAGCCTCTTCCTGGTGTTTTACAGGTGCTCTCCCATTCTCTGCTGGCTCCCTTCTTGTTTACATGAACCTGGAGAAAATCTGGAACGGACCCCGAGATCGATTCTCTCCCCTGCAGAACTTTGCCAATGTCTGTCTGGCTGCTGCAGTGACTCAGACCCTCTCCTTTCCCTTTGACACCGTGAAGAGAAAGATGCAGGTGAGGAGGTAAGGGGGAGGAGATGCCTTGACGTGTTTGTGGGTGGCTAACAGCAGCGAAGAACTCTGACCCCAAGTGAAACCAGGCATCCAAGGGGCTTGTGACTGCTCATCTAAATACTGTGCTAACGTCAGAGCTGTTGGCTCAAGCCCAAGCTGTCCTGTCATCTTCATCCTCTGTGTTAGTCTCTTATGAAGCCTCCAGATGAAGTGCTCTTTTATTTATTGATTTATTTATTTACAGTTTTTGGCCGGGCCAGGTTTGAACCCACCACCTCCCACATATGGGGCCGGCGCCCTACTCCTTGAGCCACATGCGCCGCCCTGAAGTGCCCTTTTCTCTCCTGCCTTCCTGCCCATATCACTGGTGGAGCTCCTTCCTCCCAGACCAGCAGGGTTAGAATGTAGAGCGCAGCCTGCTCACTCCCCAGCTCCCAGCTGCTTCCACAGTGGGACTTCACAGCACTCTTGCTCTCCTCACTGCACCTTACCGCAGTGAAACAGACCAGACAGACTCCAGTAAGCTGTAGCTAACAAGGGTCAGTAGTCCCTGACACTCTTGCTGAGGAAGGAGCTGCATTTAAAATGGGGTGGACGGGTGCAGTGGCTCCTATCTATGGTCCCTAGCTACTTGGGAGGCTGAGGCAGGAGGATTGCTTTGAGCTCAGACTTCAAGACCAGCCTGGGCAACGTAGTTACACCCTGTCCCTACAAAAATTTAACAAATTGAATTGGAACCTTTTTTTAATGAAATGGAGCTGTGTCTTAGTGGAATTAGCCATGCACTTTCCTAGTTGTTACCTGGGATAGCTCACATTTTCTCCCCAGACCACAGAAGCAAAAGCCTGGTATCAGAGGTTTCAAAATGGGTAATTGGCTTATCCTAGAATTAGCCAGTTTTTTTTTTTTTTTTTT